ATATATAATTGTATTTTATATTGTATTTTATATATTATTTTATTTTATTTTATTTCAGTTAATGTTTAATTTATTTCAAGTAATGATTTTTTAAATGTTTGTATTTCACATTTAGTTTTAGTTCACAATAACAATAACCCCATATACACACATCGAAATTGAAAAAAAAAAAAAATAATAATAATAATTTTTTTAATTCATGCTCCTGGTCCAAATGTGCCCCTAATAAAAATAACATATAATAAAATAAAATAACAAAATAGAATCAAATAAAAAATAACTGTACAGTATGTGTGTAAACCACTAGGCCACGGATCCAATGTGTTTTACTTCTATTTATGCAATAATTTGCTTGTTTTTAAAGTAAACAGTCATCTAGAACACAGTTGAAATATACAGTATGTTGTTCACAGTTTACATATCCATCTCAAATAACCTGTGTTATTGTTCTCAGTCAGAGAAACGTCCGTGTTATGCATCAAAGAGACTCCCAGAGACCCTCTACAGAGTGACATGTGATGGGTATGTATTAGAGCAGAGCAAAGGTAGCAGCGTCCAAATGTTTGATCACACTCTGTCAGCATCCATCTTCCAACAATCATCCATTACCCATAAGCCCACAAACATCCACAGACAGATGAAGGAGGCACTCAGGACATTCTACAAACATCCGTCCTAGTCAACACACTAACAAATCACAGAGCGACGCAGAAACACTTTCTAAACACCAAAAGAGTGAACATTTTTCTCCTAAAGCTGTACTCTTAAAATCTAGTTATATGTATGTGTAGTTTAAAATTGTCTGTCATTAGACCGTTCTGTGTGCCTTTAAGAACATGCACGTTGAATCTTGCTATCATTTCGAAGGACCGCTCAAGGGATTCCCAGGAGATTTTATCAGCGGTACAATACTTCAGTTGTAAAATCCTCCACAGACATCAGACAGACAGATATCACATCATGCACACAAACCGCTCGGCTTAAAATGAGAGATGAAAATGCTTCAGTAACACTTTCCCACGAGGAAAGAGGTAAAACATGGTTCACATCCAAATAAATCCTACTAAACAGTACAGCAACACATCCAGTGATCATTAGACACTGCAATAAAAGAAAATGTATATAAGGAGTTGTATCTGATCTTTAAAAATGAAGTTGATTTATATTTAATTACAGTTCTGATTTAACCAAAACTAGTTCATTTAGATCAGAAGTTCTCAACGGGTGATTCACGACCCACTGGTCACAGGTTTGATTTGATAGAATAGGGAAAAAACAATGCAATGCAATTACTACTGTAAAATGCAACTAACAATGTTATCATGCATAATAAGCAAAATAGGCTTATTAATCAGATCCTGTGTGGATGTTAAAGGGAGTGTGTCCAAACAAACTGCAAATTAATCCTTCACAAATTAGTCGAAGTAGACAGATGTCAACATGGACAGGTTATGCGACTTGCTCTTATCCTCAAAAACCATCAGTAAAAGTATGCAAGGTAAAATGTGATAGAATAACACAATACAAAATGCAAGACAACATAAAAATAGTAAATTTTCCCATTCAATTTAGCAAATTGTTGAGCCAATGCAGTCCAGTAATATTATTGATTTAAAGTACTTTTTTGTTCATTTTTGAGGAAAGAACCGTTTTCATACAGTAAAAACAGTAATATTGTGAAATATTATTACCATTTAAAATAACTGTTTTTTATTTGAATATATTTTAAAATATAATTTAGGTTACACTTTATTTTAAGGTGTCCTTGTTACGGTGTAATTATACATTTAAGTACTGAGTAATATTAATTAACTACATGTACTTACTATTATAATAACAATTAATTATGCATAATTAATTGTTATTATAATAGTAAGTACATGTAACATGTGTAACAAGGACACCTTAAAACAAAGTGTTATCATCATTTATTCCTGTGATCAAAGCTGAATTTTCAGCATCAATACTCCAGTCTTCAGTGTTACATGATCCTTCAGAAATCATTCAATGCTGATTTGCTGCTCAAGAAACATTTCTGATTATTATCAATGCTGAAAAGTGTGTTGCTTAATGTTTTTTTGTGGAAACCATGATGCACTTTTATTTTCAGATTCTTTGATGAATAGGAAGTTCAAAAGAACTGCATTTATTTGAAACAGAAATATTTAGCAACATAATAAATGTCTGTACTGTCACTTTAATGCATCCTTGCTGAAAGAAGAAGTATTCGTAGCGTATGTGCTTGTTGTCAGTACTCACAGCCTTTGTAGATGTCAGTAGGAATCTGTACGGCTGTATATGAGTAGTTGACTTTATTCTTGAAGTTGGGATCATCCACAAATTCCAAAGAAAGAGAGTTTGGATTTCCCAAGAGGTTTTCTCCATTAACATCATCTGGCTGCAACGAGAAGAAGCAGAGAAACATCAGATTCATCCACGACACAATACAACAGCAGGTATCAAAGTGTTCGCAAATTGCAGAAAATCAATTAGCGTCGGCAATGGCTATCACATTCGCATTGAAGTCCTTCAGGCGATTAACCATGCCAATAAATCACCACAGTGATTGCCGAATGACGACCGCTCAACCCTCGACTTGAGTCCGCCACACAGGCAGCTAATTAGGATTTTAATGCATCTTGAATCAAAATTTGACTCAAAAAGTCTGGCTTTGAAAGAACTTCAGTGAGTGAAAGTATCAAGCCAGCAAAAAAATAAATCAAAATGGCAGGATCACAGGATTTTTTTTTTGCATTTAGTAAATACCTCATTCTTGTATGCTAAGCATAATAATTGAGTCTATGCATAAACTGCATGATAATTGCATTTAGTTGGAATGCCACTTCCATACAATTTTTTCACTATGTATACTATGTACAATGCCGGACAGAAGTTTGGAGTAATTCTGATTTTTTTATGTTTTGAAAGAAGTCTCTTCTGCTCACCAAGGTTGCATTTATTTGATCAAAAACACAGTAAAAAGTGTAATATTGTAAAATATTATAACCTAAAATAAATGTTTTCTATTTTAAAAAGTAAGTTATTCTTGTAATGCAAAGCTGAATTTTCAGCATCATTACTCCAGTCTTCAGTGTCACATGATCCTTCAGAAATCATTAAAAAAAAAAAAAACTAAATTTGCAAAAATGTGCAAGATACAACCAGTATCCCACAATGCAATGCGCTCAACTTGATAATTTTCAGTGTGATAAACAAACCTGAAATGATAATCATGATTCATATCCCTTTCATTGTTTCAAGCACAAGACAATTTTACACAAAATTGGATTAAACATGCAAAATAATCAAGAATATGGCTAATTTTGTCGTCTTTAATCTTCAGTCTGACCTTTTCTTCAATAATCATTATTCAATCATTTTCCACTCACTGTGATTCATTAATCTTTCTCTTTGTCTTTGATTCTTCATCTCACAATCAAACACCCTTGCCTTCATGGCAGGGTGAAGTGTGGTGTACAGTAATAGAGTGGCAGGAGTTAATTGGGGTTGACATAGCAAACACTGTTTGTTTTTTTTTGTTTTGTTTTTGCCTCAAAATTAAATTCAAGCCTCCTGCCAAGTGTGAGGGCTGATTTATGGCCTGCCTTTAATTGTCTATTAAAATGCAATTATAAACTGTTGTTGAGCTGAACATGGAGACGGTGGTTTTCCAATACCCCTCAATGTGACATGAACACGCAGACACACATATAGAACGCAAATCACCTCTTGGAAATGGAAAAACCTTTTGCGATTTCTTTCAGTTTTCCTTGCAAATAATTTGAAATGACACGGTGCATTGACTTTACTCTTGACTAGCTCATATCTGACTCTAGGTAATAATGTTTTGGCTCCAGTTTCATACATGATTCGGAGAATTAATAATCAGAAATCTTTAGTAGGTCATGTTTAAAGACGAAACCCGGACCTGGATCAGCTAACCTGAACTAACAGGATTAACCACTTATTTTGTTTTTTCAATGTATGCTTCAGACACGGGTCACGACGAGGCGTTCCCCATAGCGACCCCTAGAGGACGCAGTGTCTCGTTCCCTACTCAGGGAACCATGGTTACATAAGTAACCTGAGACGTTTTCAAATATTGATACTTATCTTCAGGCCATCCAAAATATAGATGAGTTTGTTTCTTCATCAGAACAGATTTGGAGAAATTTTGCATCACATCAATTGCTCACCAGTGGATCCTCTGCAGTGAATGGGTGCCGTCAGAATGAGAGTCCAAACATCTTATAAAAACATCACAATAATCCACAAGTAATCCACACCACTCCAGTCCATCAGTTAACATCTTGTGAAGTGAAAAGCCGCATGTTTGTAAGAAACAAATCTATCATTAAGGTGGTTTAACTTTAAACCATTGCTTCCAGCTAAAATAAGAGTCCATAATCCATAATAACACTTCCTCCAGTGAAAAAAGTCATCTCATCTGAATCAGGAGAGAAATATGCACAGATCAAGCTCCATTTACAAGCAAAAACAGTCTAAAACAGATCTAAACAAATATCTTGGTGGATTATGATGTGAAAGATCAACAGGAGATGGACTTTTTCACTGGAGGAAGCATAATTATGCATTATGGACTGGTATTTTGGCCAGAAGCAACAGTTTAAAGTTAAAATGCCCTAATGATGGATTTGTTTCTTACAAACACGCAGCTTTTCACTTCACAAGATGTTAACTGATGGACTGGAGTGGTGTGGATTGCTTGTGGATTATTGTGATGTTTTTATCAGCTGTTTGGACTCTCATTCTGACGGCACCCATTCACTGCTGAGGATCCACTGGTGAGCAATTGATGTGATGCAAAATTTCTCCAAATCTGTTCCAATTATGAAATAAACTCATCTACATCTTAGATGGTCTGAAGATGAGTACATTTTTAGCAAATTTTCATTTTTGTGTAAACTATTCCTTTAAATACAGCAGCTGTGTTCAGAATACATTACTGGTGGGTAATGCTGTTTTTAAAATTAGTACATGAAATAGTATGCAATATGCAATAATAAATGTTGAAAACAGTAGTGTGCAACACTTGTCACATGACCTCACTATTTTGCATGTTTAATCCGTAGTGGTGTAAAGTAATAGTCTGTGAAATAAACAAAGGTTAATATAAAACGGATTTCAGATTTTCAATTCAGTTTTGTGTAAAAATGTCGTAACTTTTGGCATTTGGATCAAACGATGAGTCAAGATGATGTTATAAATGGTGGCTGATATTACTTACAGTTCTTTAGTCACACTGGAAATGGAAGGTCAAGTGGAGGACACTGCATTGAGGGATACAGTATTCAGTAGTTTTGCACTGCATATTCTGGCAAATGCAGGTCATGTTGCATTTTCATGGCATTCAATGTACATACTGCATACTGCAGAAATAGTAATATTCTAGCATGCTCTTCTGAACAAAGCCAATATGAAAATGACATTTTCAATACATTTTATTTATTTAAGGTGATATTTCAGAGTGCAACAGTATATACTGTATAATAAAAAAAAGAAAAAGCAAAGAAGAAAAGATGCTAATATAAAAACAAACAGTGAATTTCTTTAATGCACGGATGAATCATTTATAATAAAACTAGGAACATTTAAAAAGGATGTACATAAAAGTCCATTTTGATCTGATGCATAAAATCACTCCAAAACTCCAGCAGTCTGCTTGTTAAACTGAGATATTAAACTGAAAGAAAGCTATAAATGACCGCACCACCCTGATAACAAACATTTCTGTGTTTTTCAAGGCAGCACATCACCGGCACACACAATTACACCCCATTTTCAGCTTGTTTAGACACGTTTCAGGTAACTGATTTGGAAAAGTCGTCTTTGAGGGGATCTCAGCTCGATGTCCTTTATTTGTTTATTCTTCCACCTGACTGTCCTTCACTCGAGTGTTTTTTACCATCAGACGAGGCCAGTCATAATTACTCAAGACAGCTTCTAATTATTAGCTCAAAATCCACACAGGACGGAGTGATTGGTTCATTTTCCCCGTTCATACACCACCTGTTTAACTCTATTCATTACCTCATTTGTTAATTTTATCACGTTGTTTTGAAGGTTTAATTAAAGGTTGAGAGAGACAAAAATTACATTTTGAGGACTCTCTCAATCGCACCTTTATCTTTCAAGGGTTCATTTTAATCACAAACAAAATTACACGCTGTTTCCACTTTTGCCTTCTGAGTTTTAGTGTGCTAGTGTCACAGTCCAAATTTAGCAACATAATAACCCTAATGATGACTGTTAGAAACAAAATCTAACATCATTTTCTAAACCCTGCACAAAGAGCAGGTCTTCTTACTATTTAAATCTAGTATGTGAAGCTGTATGCATAATGCAACATTAAACATTTCAAACAGTTTCATGCCACACCGTCACATGACCTCACGTCACATGTGTTCTCTGCTCCCAACCACCAGAATATGGGAAAAACCATAACATCTACAGTACCTGCCAAAAAGTGATATTTTTGTCTTGTTTTCCAGTACAAATGTTTCAAGATTCTTAAATCAAGATACATTTACTTGAGAAGCAAAATTAAGTAAACTAAGCAGTAGTTTTTTTTTTTAATTGATCAAAATTAAGTGAGCTTATGACAAATAACTGCCAATGGGTTCAGAAAAATCAACTCAATTTAAAGAGAAAACAAGTTTTCATATGTTTTAAGCATAAACTCACTTAATTTTGTTGAAATTCTCATAAAAACAAGACGTTATATCTTCATTTCGCATCTCGACTAAAAGTATCTTGATATAAAGATGTTTAGATATTTCTATTGGTTACAAAAAGACAACCACCGAGAAATATTTTTTATTTAATTTTTTGCAGTACATGCAACATTTAATGCCAAAACTTTATGCATTTAAGACCTTTTTAATGCCTTAGTTTGTGGAAGGGTGAATTAAGTCCTTTTAAAGACCTGCATAAACCCTGGTCTACAGACATAAATTCACATACTGCAAAAATAGCATGTATGGAAGTATGTCATATTATGTTACAGTACACTAATTGTAGTAGGTTAAAGTGAAATCAAACCCCATGAAATCAAAATTAAAGTTTTTTGGGTGTTAGTATCAATATGTTAGTCTTAAGGTTATCTATAAGGCAGTGTGCTCCAAAACAGTGACAAAATTCGCATTTAGAAGATATAAGCATTCAAAGCTTTTAGTTCGTCACTTCCGCCAAAACGGCTCAACAATTTTTTTGACGTCACATCGTACTTAATCTTCTCATCAAATCTTCTGACCAATCAAACGCTCTCTCGAAGCCGAAGCGCCCGCCCCCTACACTATAAATAGACACTGAAGCTCGCAGCTGAAATCGGTCACTTGTCCACAGAATTAGTATTTTCTGTACAGTGAATGGCACGTATATGCTTTCGATTGGGGCAAATGAGGTCTGGTTTCACGTTGTTTTACGTGAACCGCAGCAGCGAACACAGTCTGATCCGGACTTTGGCACCGGTCGAGAGACGCGATCGCTCGGAGCGGCTCATATGTGCGAGTCGGCATATATTAAACACTTTTAAACCTACACAGCCTCAGCATGATTATGATCACTATTTTGTTTTACTAAGAGTTTCATATTGATTCAAGGGGGTAATCTATTAGACTGTGGCTGTCAAATGCGGCTTTACCGAGCTCAACGGCTCTG